TATAATTGTAAATTCAAAACGTCATTAAACATATTTTCATCCCACCACCTCGGAAAGTGTAATTTTGCGCTTCGAAATCTGGCTGGAAAATTCTATTTTATTCGCTTGAGCGGCAAAGTAGATTTGAATTTAGAACATCACATATAATGAGTACTCAATATAATTGTAAATTCAAAACGTCATTAAACCTATTTAATGTAACCTCTATGGTGCCAAATTTATGATTAGAACTTTTTAAATTGTGAAAAAATTTAAATTTGGAACCTTCTTGGTTTCTTTGTTTTATTTGCGTGCTTCGCGCCATTCTAGTTTTTCACGTTTTATTGCTTAAATATTTTGTCATTATAAATTGTTTTCTTTTTCATTTTGTCATTTCCTCGCTGAGGTGGGATGAAAAGTTACGTATTGCACTCGAGTGGAAAGATTTTTCACCTTGTGCTCGTTTGTTTCCCTCGCTGACGCTCAGGATTCTAATTTAGAATCACTCGCTGCGCTCGTGATTCAACTTTAGAATCCTTCGCTTGCTCGGTCATCCAAATCGAGCACGCGGTTAAAAAGGAACTTTCCACTCTTGTATAATAAATAACTATTAATGTAACCTCTATGGTGCCAAATTTATGATTAGAACTTTTTAAATTGTGAAAAAATTTAAATTTGGAACCTTCTTGGTTTCTTTGTTTTATTTGCGTGCTCGCGCCATTCTAGTTTTTCACGTTTTATTGCTTAATATAATTAACATAACCTAAAAACTGTACAAAAAAATCAACTAAAATGAGTGACATTAGCGACGATGAAGTTTATCTAACGCCAACTGAGTTAACTGAAACAGTTAATAATGCGCAAATGAGCCTTCTCCCTCAGCAATCACGAGAGAAGTATTTGAAACAGTACGATATATTTAACATGTGGCGACTAGCTAAAGGAGCAAAAACTTTCTCCGAAAACGTTTTGCTGGCATATTTTATAGAATTATCTGAGACCAAGAAAGCAAGCACGCTATGGAGTACGTATTCAATGCTAAAATTAACAATTAAGATGAAGAAAGACGTTCATATCGACACCTATCATAAATTAGTGGCATTTTTAAAAAGAGCCTCATCTGGTTATAAACCAAAAAAATCGAAGGTTTTCACAGCATCTGAAATTGCAAAGTTTATTAATGAAGCACCTGATTCCGTATATTTAGCGGCAAAAGTAAGTCAATACGTGTAATTTTTTGTTGTTGATAAAATTGTACATAGTACTTACAATATTTTTAATTTGATTAATTTATTTACGATTATAAATACTTCTTTTGTTACAGGTTGTTCTTATTATTGGTATAACCGGAGCATGTCGAACAAATGAACTTACACTACTTAATGTCAATAACGTATCAAAATATTCTCATAATTCTGATGAATTGCTATTAATTAATGTACTAAATACCAAGACAAAAAAAGACCGCAACTTCGTTATTCGCAAGGAATATGTAAACATTGTTCAGAAATATCAAGCTTTACGTCCTTCTAACACCCCAATTGAACGATTTTTTCTACAATATCGCAACGGAAAGTGTATCCGACAACCTATGGGTCAGAATAAAATTGGCAGTATTCCACGAGAAATAGCAACTTTTCTCGGACTTTTAGAACCCCCGTTATACACCGGTCACTGTTTTAGAAGAACCTCAGCCACACTTTTGGCCGAATCAGGGGCTGATCTTCTATCGCTTAAGCGCCATGGAGGCTGGAAGTCTAATTCGGTTGTAGAGGGATACATAGAGGATTCAATCCAAAGTAAATCAAAAATTTGTAATAGTATCGTGGAGGCCATAACGCTGAAAGAACCTCTGTCAGATTCTTGGTCTCGCCCTTCTACATCTAAAATGAGCCCCCATAAGATTGGAAACAATAGCCCTCTCTCGCCAACATTTACGCCAATAGAATCCAATGAATCGGCACAACTATTTAAAATTACTGATACGAGTAGTTTACCACAAAACAGCGCACAATTCACAAACACCAACATAACATTACCTAACAAAAATATTAAACTTAACATAAGTAACTGTAGCAACGTTACATTTAATATTTCTTAATTATTTTCTACTTCTTATTATTTTCTTCAATTTATAGATTATCTTAATGTGTTTTAATTGAAATAAAAATATTTTGTCATTATAAATTGTTTTCTTTTTCATTTTGTCATTTCCTCGCTGAGGTGGGATGAAAAGTTACGTATTGCACTCGAGTGGAAAGATTTTTCACCTTGTGCTCGTTTGTTTCCCTCGCTGACGCTCAGGATTCTAATTTAGAATCACTCGCTGCGCTCGTGATTCAACTTTAGAATCCTTCGCTTGCTCGGTCATCCAAATCGAGCACGCGGTTAAAAAGGAACTTTCCACTCTTGTATAATAAATAACTATTTCAGATGAAACTTTACCGTAGAAGAGAGCTACAACAAACAAAATGACAAGGTGTACGCATAAAGTAGTGAAGAAGCGAGCAACCGTATTCCGCGTGTCCAACGAGGTCATTTTCCATCCTCGCTCATGGTATGGTTGGGAATTTCTTATTGGGGCTTAACAGAGGTGTATCAAAATACAGTCCTGACGAACCTTGTGGAACCTGTTTCTCATACCATATTCAATAACAGGCACTGGGTATTCCAACAAGATTCGGCGCCAGCTCATAGAGCGAAGAGCACACAAGACTGGCTGGCGGCGCGTGAAATCGACTTCATCCGGCACGAAGACTGGCCCTCCAGTCCAGATTTGAGTCCGTTAGATTACAAGATATGGCAACACTTGGAGGAAAAGGCCTCATCCCAATTTGGAGTCACTCAAGACATCCTTGATTAAGGCAGCCGCCAATGTTGACATGGACCTCGTTCGTGCTGCGTTAGACGACTGGCCGCGCAGATTGAAGGCCTGTATTCAAAATCACGGAGGTCATTTTGAATAAACTTTATTGTCATAAGAATCTATGTTTTGTTAAGTTTATTTTGGTATATAAATGGTTACATAATGAATAAACTTATAATTTTTATTATTTTTAAAGCATGTAACTGCTTGATGTTTAAATCTAAAGAAAATATAACTAGAAAAAATTCCACGCGGACCAGGCAGCAGACGGGACTCGAACCGGTGCTAACCCGTGCCGTTATAACTATAATTGCTATTTCTTCTTCCAAATGTTTAATACTTGTAAAAGTATTCATTTGACATTGTGGGTTACCTATAATGCGAAGAGATGACGCTGCCTTGCAGCTTAAGAATGGCTAGAAGAATTTCGACGCGGTCCGTGAGGGCCGCGGTAGCATAATTGGTCAGTGCATTCGCCCGGATTGCGAAGGGTGCGGGTTCGAGTCCCGTCTGCTGCCTGGTCCGCGTGGATTTTTTTCTAGTTATATTTTCTTTAGATGAATAAACTTGTTTCAATTATTTTATATTAAACATGTGACAGAATTTATGACCTGACCAGGTATATATAGCCTGTTAAACACAATACCCTGTCTGCGCGTCACAATTCGCGCTCTTGCATTGCGCAGTCGGTTAAAAGACAAAACTATGCAGGTTAATAATGTTTATTTTACATACTTTTAAATACAGCGGTAAATAGCTACAAGCATTTCGTCACAAAAAAGTGATAATAATTTATTGTTGATGGCATGACATGAAATTTATAACTAAAACACTGTTCAAAATTAGGTAGTACATGCACAACATAAGATGTATGAACTACAAGATGAATGTAACAATAGAAATTATGCTTTGTATTTTTAGCAAGACCTACATGAGAGACAAGTTTTGAATTTTAGAAAATAAATTATTAGTTTCATTTTTTTTAAAGAGAACAATCACAAATATTACTTTATTCAATCATACCGTAAGAGGCAAATTGAGTTCTGCGGCTTTTGAACACAAGTAGATTCTTGAGAGTACAAACAACGATATTTAATACCCTAGATACAATAACACGAACAAAATCGTGCCCGAAACCTGTCCAAAAGGTACATTGGACGATCCACGGAGCTCCGTAAGAGGCATTATTTAAACATTGAAAGTCACCTTTAATTCATACTGTTTAAAGCCTTAATTTAAACGCATGCGCGTCAAGGAGTTTTGACAGTTCGAAATGCAAGCTCGTAAAATTTTACGAATTATTGCTATACTAGCAAACCAGTCAACCAAATGTTCACCAAAACCTGATTTAAAAAAAAATGTATTTAATTAATTGAGAACTTCGGAGATTTTGTGTGGTTTCATTTGAAATTCGTGATTTCTCGAAAACCGGAAGTGCTACGTTACTCAAATCCGGTTTGTAGTCTTATCAGGCTATTCTTAACTTATAACTTAAATATTCTCTTTATCTATCTCTTACGGTTTGGCCGCTGAAACAGCACCACAGACGGACGGACTTGTCTAATAGATAAGAGATATGCGGAAGAATATAGACCTTATTTTTTTGACTCTACGCGCAATTCTGAATGCGCTGTTAGAAATAAATATATAAAGCATGTACGGACCACGAAGAAAAGAGACTGCTATATAACCGACCATGCATTTGAATATCACAAATATTTTCTATTAAATCAGCTTATAGAAGTATTTGAACAAAATTTGCTTTATTGTGTTAAATTAACAAACATTGATTAGATACATTATCAGAGGAGCTCGATGGCGCAGGTGGTTAGCGAGTTCGGCTGCGATCGTTGAAGTTAAGCAACTTTCGCAGTGGTCGGTCATTGGATGGGTGGCCAAATATTTTATATCTCGAGTTCCTCCGTGCTTCGGAAGGCACGTTAAGCCGTTGGTCACGGCTGCATCTGCAGTCGTTAGCACCCGCTAATCCGCACTGGGCCCGCGTGGTGGTTCATGGCCCAATCTCCCTATTCCATCCATAGGGAAGGCCTGTGTCCCAGCAGTGGGGACATTATTAGGCTGATGATGATGATTAGATACATTATAAGTATTTTTTTCGCATTTTTTCACGGAGCCTTGTGGCATCTTGACTTTTCAACGGTCCGCGCGTGACTGTGAACCAAGAAGTGCTTAAGTGTTGTTCAAGCACTTCATGATTGGGTAACATTTTGAGCGAACATAGTATATCTAGGGTATTGAATATTGTTTGAGTATAAAGCATATTTTTTATTCAAGTATCTTGAAAAGATTACATAATTTTAGACTTAATTAATTCAGTAACATTCAAAACTGTTTTGAATGCATGATTTCAGTCTTAGAAATTCTTTCTTACTTATAAAATATATAAGGGAAAATGTATGATAACAGGCAGTATTTATTGACTAATGAGGAATATAGTAACTATTCTAGTCTATTAAATCGAATTGATCTAAGAATGTGTTATCTACACCCAGCACAGTTCCAAGACTTTGCCGTGGCTTCCTGTCCTTTAATGAGTCGTCCACATCTGAACACAGCTGATCTAAATATTCACTAGACTTTATACTTAAACTTGGACTCAATAGATCAGGCAATAAGATCCTATTTACTGTGAGAACATCATTAACATTTTCATTTTCTTTCTCTTCAGCGATGGTCATAAAATTACTCTCTTCATCTTTACCATCGGGTGGCATTACATTAGCTCTGACTTTCTTAAACCGATTAATAATTTTCTCTAATGAACTTGTTTTTCTTATTAACTGTGCATCTGTCTTAGGTGTTTCAGTCTTTGATTCCTCATTGTTTTCAAAACTCTTTCTACTCCTGTTCCGCTCTACTGACTTCAACGCAGAACATTCATTTGTAATTTCTTTATTCAAAAAATTTTGATCTTCTATTTCTTTATTCAAATCTTCTTCTATTTCTTTGAATACTTTGGCCACGTTTTTCTCCTGTGTTACAACTATGACAGGAACACTAGCAGCATCTGTTTTCTTTGAACCCATGACTCCCTCTGGGGTGCCATATGTGTCATCTTTCTCTAAAGCAGCTATGCCAGATACTTCTAAAAGCGACGATGAGCCTTCTTGCATAATCGACAGCTTTCTTCTTCCGGTTTTTAAAAAACATTTCTTTTCCCTATTTTCATATAAATTAGGTGATGAGTAACTCCTAAACATTTGTATGCTGCTAGAGGATTCATCTGATTCATTGAACAGACCACCCTTTTTGATATTAATATTGGGTCTTACAGAGGAGTGCTTGAATTTCTTTGAGCTACTGGACTTTTTGGCGGACAATAGCCTCATGATTTGTTGTTTTGTAAATCCTGCTGAACATTCTGCTATAGTTTCGTTACCTCTACTGTTTGCTTGCGATATAACAGAGATATTGTTGAAATTGGTACTCACATTTGGACGATCATATGTGCTAACGCGACAAGATATGAGGCTGTTTAGAAAACTATCCCGAGGACCTTGGTGAAACGGAGTGATCAAGGCCTTGGCCTGTGGTTTACTGAAGCTGAAGGAATTATGTTTCCTGTGCAAATTGAACTGATGTTTCGACATACTTAACGGAGTGAAGGTCTCTATTAATGTTTGACCTATATTGTCCCTATTGGCTTTTAGTCCTGACAAATCTGGAAGTGGCGGTATTTCAAATTCTTTCAACGACACAGATTGGTTAAAGACCGATTGTGATGGCTGAAATAATAAAAAAATCAATATTAGGGATTTACACATACCATTATAGTAATGTTTCATTACATAAAGCCTGGTGATTTAATTTAATATTTTTAGTACATTTGTTATGGCCTGTCTACAGGTAAATTTTCTAAGCCCATAGCCTGGGGTACTCTAGCAAACTTGCTGTGGACATATAAGAAAACTACCTTTAGCAGACTACACCTGCAGATTAATTTGTTGGTAGTACTTTGTCACTACAAACTTTGTATTTAAGAGTTAGATTTAGGTAATTATAAGAATAACCCTTTTTAAAATTATAGTAAAGTTCAGAAATTACAACCTTACAATTATGTTATAGTCTGATTTTTAATTTGAAGGAATTCAGACAGCTTAAAATTTTGAAACTTCAGATATCATAAACCTTTTCTGTGTTATACTTTTTATAAGTTATTTTACGCAAGCTCGATAAATTTAAAAATGTTAAAAAGTGAAAAAAATTATAGTAGGATGAAACCCATTGGAAAAGGTAGAGAATATAACGAAAATGAAAGGAAAAATAAATTACAGGCGATCTGAGGTGGGGATGGGGTAAGTTTTTAAGGGTGAAAACGGTTAATCTCGATTTCCGGTAAAACTGCAAGTCTTATGAAAAAAAGTTAAGATAATAAAAAAGGTTGTATCTATAAAAAGATCTACAACTTTTGTATCGACACTTTTTTCACATAAACTCAAAATCTATGTGAAAAATTGGAATAATAGAATTTTTATTTTTTTTTTGCATAAAAATTTAATTTTTCACGAAATTTAGTGAAAACTTACTTTTGTATGTCCCAAACATACAGTATTTATTTTTAATTAAAATATTCATTTTTTCACCTTATTTTGACTTAATATCGAAAAAGCACCCTAATTTTCAATCGAAAATTATTACGTCAAAATATCTGCTTGTGTGTTTTTTGTTCGTTGAAATCTCTACTTTCTGATGGTATAAAAAAAATATACACTGCTATGGTAAATGTTCTCAGAAACTGCAAATTAATAACTCAGATCGCCCGTAATTTATTTTTCCTTACATTTTTGTTATATTCTCTACCTTTTCCAATGGGTTTCACCCTACTATAATTTTTTTGGTCTCAAAAATTATCGACCCTAGTCTATTTATAGGTGTTGTCCTGATAAAGGAAACCCTTAACATCGTATTTTACTCAATGCAAACCAGTTTTTCATTGCCGTTTCGCATTAACTTTGGCGGAATTCATTGTAATTATCCTGTTAATATTATAAATGTGAAAATTTGTTACTCAATCAACGTTAGGCAACTGTGGGATTGGGATTGTGGGATAGCAGGCAGATGCAAAGAACAGAGGTTGTTATTATTAAAAAAAATTATTTAAATGAATAAAAAGTTATAGATATAAAATAACCAAAAATATTAAAGAGAACGAGAGAAGTAATTTATATGATGAGTGTAAATATTGTTTGTTATGTGAATTCAATGTGCTAGCTAATAATTAAATTTTAAAGAACTGAATGGAAAACAAAATTAAACGCAAATATTTATTTGTGAATTATCACTACTATCATCATAGTCATTACTTATTATTGTAACCTATGAATAGTGGACAGGGATTCCTGTGAAAGAAAAAATTTTTTTTACTAATTATTATAACTTCAATAATGTGATAGTAATAAGTATGATTACCATTTCTACATCTGTCAATGTTTAGGTCAAAAATTTTCTAATTTCAAATTTAGGTTAACTTTTTTATAATTTTGCTTTACTGTTTTACAGATTATACAGACTGTAGGGCTGTTTTATCATTGGCAACAACAATTCTGAAATGTCAAAATTCTATAGCACTAAAAATCAGATTATAGGAGTAAATATTTCGATGCAGATGTTGATCAACACAGTGGTTACAGTACATATTATCTAAAGATCTAACCAACAACACTATAGCATAACAATTTAATTAATGAAATAAAACTTTATTTACCTGTAGCTTAGCTTCTGCATTCATTACCCTATTGTTAAGCATCCTCATAGCCAAGATTAATTCATTCCAATTCCTGTGTCCATTATCCAAATACTCATTAAATTTATATATTTCATCTCCTATCTCATTGTTTTTCAGTATATAACAAATTGATATTAAAAATCCCCTAATGAGATTTGGGAAGTAAAGTCTTTCGTTTCTTACAATATTTTTGAGAATATATTTTTGTTGAGAGTTCACTTGATTTTCTAATTCATCTGTGCATATTTCATCCGTTAAATGATTGTACTCGATCATGTAAGAGTTGCAGTCGGCTTCCCCGGTGTGCCTCGCTATAAGATCTGATGTGTTCTTCTGGCAATCTGTACAAATTTCTAGGAAAGGAGTGACTTTTTCATCCCATTTGGAGTCCATATTTTTCACATTTTCATCGACATACTCCAACCAAATATCAAAGAATGGCGCAGGTTTTTTAACATTTTTGATCTTCATTACCTCAGTCTTAGTAGCCTCATCTAAACTATTTTCTTTGACGTAATTGTCAACTAAGTTATCTATAAATTTCTGAGCATTCAACGATGTAAGTTTCTCCTCCATACTAACTATTTTCTCACGGAGTATGGAAGCAATATTTTCCATTGCTAACCTCTTTCTTTGGTGCCGGTAAAGATTACTCGGAATTGCTTCCACTTCTTTAATAACCTCTTCAACAAAATCATCACTATTAATTTTGTATTTTTCAGTCACCTTTTTGTACAAATCTTTTTCACTTTCTTTTGACATTTTACTTAAGAGAAGATGTTGCACAGCCAGCTGAGTCATTTGAAACAACAGCTTAGTCACTTTATAACAGCCTGGATTCACTAAATAAGACGACATAACAGGAGATAACAATCCTTGGCTGCTATAATCGTTGATGAATGCTGATAGCATGCTCCTGTAAGTTTTTTCCGTTTTCGAATCGTACAAAGGCCATAAGAATTTATCCGCAGTTTGGAAGTCTATGATAGACACCAAGTAATATGAAAAATGGTTGAACATATTTTGAGTGGGTTTCTCCAATGCATTCTCTTTAAATATAAGCCGTGACAACTCTGGTGACATCGGTCGTATTTTATTCAAAACCTCAGCGTTCAGAGAAATCTCTCTTTTGAATTTCCCAACAAGATCTTTTTGGATTGTAACTGGAACTGCCATTATTAGGAAATTTTCACTTTCACGTTTATAATATTTCACAAGCTCAATAACACATTATTTAAAATCCCGTCTTGTTAACATATAAACGAAAAACCAATAAATCACTAGATCAGTCAATGTGATTCTTCTGTGATGACACCTTCGATATTTAGCCAAATTTATGTGCCCAAAATAAAATAAATTCACAACATCAAGCACGCTCATCACAACAACATTTCAAAATTGAAAATGTCAAATTTTCCGTTAAGCAGCGCTGCGTTCTGTGCTTGTTCTGTGCCAACCTTACTCAGATTCAGATTCAGATTCTGAAAACAAGCGCGAGAAATAAACAGTGTAGTCGAAGGGTACGGCCAGATTGCACTCCTGATTCAGATTCAGATTCGGACTCAGCAAACAAAGCGCGAGAAAAAGCAGGCAACCTGCTTAGACTACACTGTTTATTTCTCGCGCTTGTTTTCAGAATCTGAATCTGACTCTGAATCTGAGTGCACTCTGGCCGCACCCTAAGCAGGTGGCCTGCTTTTTCTCGCGCTTTGTTTTCTGAGTCTGGATCTGAATCTGAATCAGGAGTGCAATCTGGCCGTACCCTTCGACCGTGGTTTAATGGTCTAAGGTGCCAACACTCATTATTTTATTTACCCAATTTTATCGAAAGTACCTGTTATGAATTTTAAATTATTCGTGTATATTTATTTATCCTGCATGATCAGAATTCTTTGAATTCGTCACAGGCATGTTTTGAAGCCATTGGAGCGCATGATTAGCGTACGTTACTTTTTAGTCAAATGGCTGTATGAACTATTAATTCCATTCCTAATCTTAGTGGCGAAGGGGTTCTCTCGCTTATGCCATCTCCATTGGTATATGCTCTAAGGCGCTATCGGTGCAAATTTTAAGAAATCGTACAATTCGGATCGCAGTGTAAATAGTCGTGTCTGTCTGCTGTCACTGTCAGTCATGTTACCAGTGATGCCAGAACGTCCCAAAAGGGACGATTTTCGTCCCTTTCCTCATCAAAGCGTCCCATCGATGTCCTTTTACATATTCCGTCCCTTTTCCGTCCGTTTTCGATAACGCTTCACTGCAACATTAGACGAATGCGTTTCGTTTCACTCATTGATTTATTTCACTAAATTGCCATCACTATTCGTTGTACATTGTCAACTCTATTCGTCAAATCACCCAGTAAACTACATCGAATTCAACGCTCGCTACGATTGGACGTTTAATATATACCTACCTATATCTATACCAACTCAAAGCTCTAACCCAATAACCTACCATATCTTACCTAATAAAACTTTTGTTGTTGAGGTATGTTTTAGTTATGAAGATAATAGGTAACTTAAGAATAAGTGCTTGCTTTGTAGAGTCGTAAGTACGTACGGTACGTTCATACCACCATGATGTACCTATGTCCTCCGTACCATCTTCATTATGTTTCTTGTGTGCCCAAAAAAATATAATTAATATGGCTCTGTTAAAATGTTTTTGAAGTGAAACTTCTTTAGGCACGCCTTGACTTGGGGGGTAAACTGGCGAATAGGGAAGATGCAATATTTTTATTTTTGTTTTCATTTTAAAGAATTCCATGTAGAATAAACCATAAAAAATTAAAACATTGTGATTTATCGGAAAAAATGCGGTTTTAAATTGACAATTTAAATTTTCGCGCGAAAACGAACCTATAGTTGCGATGACGTCACTGCTGTCTGTCACTAGTCGTACTTGTTCGTTGCTGGCTTTAAATTTTCATACTTTTGCATATTTTTTCGACTTTCGAAATATTTTTTTGAAAAATTTAAAATGGACTATCCATCAACATCATGTGACTCATGTTTTGTGCCAATCTACTTCAACAAAGTTCCCAAATAAATTGTTTTTGACTGGAACTTCTGACCCAAAACTGAAAAAAAAGTGGTTTCAAGCTGCAAAGAAAAATGACAATTATTCTCCAAAGACCATTATTTGATGCTGAGAAGATCACTTTGACGTAAGTCGGCGAATATACTTGTATATATGCTTAATTAATCTGCTTGTACGTAAAAACGCATTAGTAACCTACCTAATACTTACAAAACCTGTCTATAACATATTTTTAATTTTACAGTTGGAGAATGACGTCGAAAATTAGATAAAGTTTAAAATGTGTGGCACAATCTTCACATTGGCAGGACTGAACCAAGCTTTGCGTTTCATTTAAAATAACCTTAACACGATAACCTTCTTTACGTACTTTATGCTCCGGGAACTCGACCTTTTACTGTACATAATTCTCCATCTCTTTTAATTTGGACATAGCCGATTGCATTATCGCCGTAAGATTTGTAGAAGCCGCTGAATAAAATACGAAGTTTAACAACTACGATTTTTACATACCGTAGTAATTTAGTCCCTTTCATTTCTACACTTAAAAACTGCACTTTGGACAAAAAATGTTATAACCATGTCAACGCTAACTCTTGGTAAATTCCTGGAGTCTGCTTTGATAAACGCAACTTCTGTTTTTATTAAATGTTAAAAAAACGCAATAAATATTCCCATAAAATAATATTTACTTTAACAACCATAACCTCAAAGAAGTTGTCATAACAGGAGTGACGTCACTAAACGCTGATTGGTGTTTTAAAATACGTTCCGTTTCAAGTATTTTTAATTCGTAATAATTGTTAAAAAACAACATTATGTAAAATAAAAACGTTGCAGTGGCATTTCTTTTATATTTTTTTAACATTTTAATCATAAAATTTTCATATATATTATATATGCATCTTCCCTTTTCGTGTTACGATTAGTGTCATCGGTGACTCATCGGTAAACAATGAACAATACCTGTAACAAAATACATAAATCTAGTGCTTGGCTTGGTAGGTGATAACGGACCCAGCGTGGATTGATGGATGATAACGGACCCAGCGCAGATTGGTGGGTGATAACGGACCCAGTGTGGATTGGTGTATAATAGCGGACCCAGTGCGGATTGGTGGATGATAACGGAGCCAGTGCGGGTTGGTGGGTGATAATGGACCCAGCGCGGACGGGTTGGTGATAATGGATCAAGTGCGGATTGGAGGGTTATAACGGACACAGCGCGGATTGGTCGGTGGCAATGGACCCAGTGCGGATTGGTGGGTGATAATGGACCCAGCACGGATTGGTGGATGATAGCGGACCCAGTGTGGACTGGTGGGTGACACTGGACCCAGCGCGGATTGGTGGGTGATAACGGACCCAGTATGGATTGGTGTATAATAACAGACCCAGTGCGGATTGGTGGATGATAACGGATCCAGTGGGTGATAATGGACCCAGCGCGGATGAGTTGGTGATAATGGACCCAGTGCGGATTGGAGGGTGATAACGGACACATCGCGGATTAGTCGGTGGCAATGGACCCAGTGCGGATTGGTGTGTGATAATGGACCCAGCGCGGATTGGTAGTTTTTTTCTATCAAATTTCAGATCATTGGAGCTATAGAAATTTCACTTCAGTCGTGTGTTCCTAAACACACTCGCTTTTTTTTTCATTTAACCGCATTATGATAGAACTACACTTACCTGTCGTGTTGTGTTGTAACACATCAGAGAGCTATCTCTTTCATACAATTATGGTTAAAGTGAGAACGCTGTCGAAACATCGCGACACACAGGTATAGTTCTTAGTGCTAACCGTACTAAATGTATGAAGCAGATTGCGCCACAATACAACACGTAAGATAAATATAGTTCAGCCTTTAGTTTAATATTTCTGTAAGGCCGTCCTTTTTGACTAAAAATCGTCCCTTTTCAGATTTCGAATCGTCCGAAACACGACGCAGGTACTGGCAACACTGCATGTTACCCCTGATTGCAGCGGGTTTAATAATTTTCATTTATTTTTGTAAATATCTATATATCAATTAATACTTTTTAGTGCTAATGTGCGTAAATATTAGCGAACCGATATCAGAAATATATTAAAACAAAAACATCAAGGATATGATGCGTTTGTAATTAGAAATTGCAAAATATAATTGCGGAAGTGGAACAATTGCTAGTTGCCGGTTTAAAAGCGATAGGAAAATGAGTAGCACCGTAGAAATATGGAATTTGAGTGCCCTCTGCCGATGCTGTCATACTTATGGTCATTTTAAAAATCTTTCGGAGCCCTACCGGCATGGAGAAGACAGTGAAGTGTATTACTCAATGCTACGGGATACTTTCAACGTTGAGGTAAATATATTAATTCATCAATTTGTTTCTTCCAATTCCAAACACCCGAATCATTTAATAAAGCCCTGCTTAATGTATGTTTGATTGAATAATAAATTATTTACTAATTCACTCCTCATATCTGTTTAAAAAGGGTTTGGTAAATTTATACAGTTTTACAAAACTGGAGAGGTAAAGGGTACTGGCTAAAACTGTACTTTCAGGGCCCAAGAGGTGATACCTAATTGAATTTTTTCACAACACTAACTGGTAAAACTGTATTTCCAGGGCCCAAGAGGTGATACTCAGAACTTTTATGTAGAAAAAGTCTCTTAATATTTTTTTTTCTGTTATGGTCACAACACTAACCAGGTTAGGTTAGTGTTGTGACCATAACAAAAAACCTAGTGTGACGTACCACCACTTGGGCCCTGGAAGTACGGTTTAGCCAGGAACTGAGCCCATGCAGCCATTTATGAAGGGTTTTATTAAAAGTAATTTTATATTCAAATCTTCCTTTAACAAAGTTCATAAATTAGCTAATTTGATTGACAGATCAGTTTACCACTGACAGAAGCAAGTTACAGTATATGCGATGTCTGTATAGATCAAGTTCGAGATGCATACCAGTTCAGAAGACAAGTTGTTGAATGTGAGAAGAAATTTGAGGAATATTGTAAAAGTATGTTATCATCATGGGCTCGATAATGAGATAATATTGGTGTGATTCTGTAAATTTAAAACTGCATTTAACAGCAGTAAATATTCATCAATTCAAATGAATAATGTAAATGAAAGACTGTTGTCAAATATAGTTAAGAATATTGGTGGAACTAGGCTTATCATTACATCAATTACTGAAATATTTTAATATTTCGCACCGCTGGTGCGACACTGTCACTTATGCAAAAACATTTTTTTTTCAGTAGGAGCGTCTTAAACTTTAACATCCCAAAACATACAATATTTAAAGATTTTTACGTGATGAAAAGCTTATACTGCTTAGCTATTCATCTAAAAAAAATAAAAAAAAAACT